GGGGGGGGCCCTCGCTAGCCTTTTCAGGGTAGCGCAGGCCACGGCCATGTGGGCCCATGCCCCTTGGGGGTGAGCAGGAGCGGGTGAGCTGTAGCGGGAGACTTGCGGTGTTGCTGCTTTTTCCCAGCCAGTGGTGTGTGGGAATCTTGTGCATGGTGTGGGACTGGCCGCCTGGGTGCTGCCATACAGCTGCAGAGGCAGGTCTGCCCCAGAATTGTCTAGGACTTCTGTTCTTTAAATTTCCTTCCTTCCTTTTTTTCCTTTGTGCTTCTAACTGAAAACACTTCTGATTCTTCTTCTACCATCCCCCACTTTCCTCTCCCCATCTGTGTCTGTTCCCCCTCCCTGTTTTCTGGGCTCCCCTTTTTATTTTCTCCTCTTGGCTCACGGAAACCTTTTTTTTAGACCACCAAGTTTTTATTTATGTCAATAACTGCAGGGCAGCACCCCGCGGAAGGCGAGCGGAAGTGATCGCCATGCACAACCTCACCCAAAATTTGCTGACCACACGTACCCCACGAACACCACCCACCCTGACTCCACCTCTCCCTGGCCTTTCAGCAAGTCCAGGTAAGCAGCACAAGTAGTTCCCAGGCTCCTGCACTGCAGCAAAGCCAGTAGCAGCCCTGGAGTAGTCCATGAGGCAACTGTCTGGCATCACAGCTGGCTTAGGGGGATGATTTTAGCAGCCAGCTCCCCTTTTATTCCTGGGCTGGCAGGGCTTCCTCTGGATCCCAGAGGCAGCGCACTCCCTCTGACTGTGGACATGGGGTGGGGAGGTTGCTTTGCAGGGTCTGACCCTGTCCTAATGTCCCACGGGATCAGAAGGCACCAGCCTGGTCCAGATCCTGTTCTGGCAGTGCAGTGACGATTCTGGGGGAGGCAGTTCAGTGCCTGCTGGGCAAGGTCTGCTGGATGACTGGCTGGGCTGGGCTGGCTGGCACTGCACCGGCAGATAACATGCTCTTGTAGCAGCGCCTGGATCCTAAGCATCCAGGCAGGTCTCTCGAGGCGCTGTTCTGTGAAATGCTTCATGCTCTGTGAGCAGCCCCTCTCTGTCCTGCTCTTCCTGGTCTCCCTTGATAACCTTTGCTGTGCAGCAGCAGCCCTTGTGCTTTCCTAGTCCTGCATGGTGGGGACTGTGTGGTGCTCTGTGCATTGCTGGCATGGGGCAGGCACATGCAGTGGCCCTGTACTTACTCTAAGAGCAGGCTCTGATTCCGATTTCTTGGCTTCCTGGCTGAGATGGTACCAGCTGGGTGCTGTGCCCATGCCCCACGGGATGGGGAGGAGGAGAAGGGACTCCCACCCCTGATTTGGCTTTCAGATCATGTCAGCTTCTTTTCCTGTCCTCCAGGCTGTCTTCATCTGCTCTCAAACTGCCAAATCCTGAAAAGCCTGCCTTCAGCTTCATCCTCAACTCAGCCCCTCGGCTCCCAGCCACCCCCCTGACCAATGGCTCTGCTCCCTGCTCTTTGCACCAGCTTTCTCCCTGCAGCAGGGAGAAGGGGCCCAGCCAGGTCATCCCTGGTTCCTCCAAAAAGAAGCAGCGAAAGCAGTATCATGAAGCAGAGGGTAGTCCGTGTGCTCTGGTTGTGAATGGCAAGGATGAACTCTCCAGCCCCCCGAAGAAGAGGAAGCATCTAGGTCAGGAGGGCTCGGTGTCCCCTGCAGGGAAGGGGACAGCAGTCAGGGATCCCAGTGGTGGCAGGGAGGGGCTGGGCAGTCAGGATCTGGAAAGCAGGTCCAAGCAGCAAGCATCGGACCCCAGCTGTTACCCAGGCACGGAGCCCATTTCCCCACTCAAGAAGAAAAAGAAAAAGAGGAGAACACAAGAGGCAGAAGAGCGCTGCTTTGGGATGCTGCCCTCAGGCAGGTGAGGGGCCAGGCAGGCACTCGAGTGCCCTGTGCAGCTCAACTCTGTGTGAAGTCAGGCTGCCCTTGGCATGCTGAGCTGGGTCTGCAGTCAGGTGGGTCTGCAGTCTTGTCTCCCAGGTGGGATGGGCCTTGCTCCACCAGGCAGGGATGCCAGCTAAAGTGCTGGCCTGCTGGAGCTGGCTTCACCTGTCCCTGTCAGCCCTGCTGCCCTCCCTGTGTGCAGAGCAGCAGCAACGCTGCTAGGCTGTGGGTTTCCCTGGGTCGCACTCTAGCCTTCCTCTGGTCTGGCAATGCCAAGTTAACCCTTGCTGATTTCTTGAGCTTCAGGAGAGCTGAAACAGAGCCCTGGAGGGCAAAGCAGCAGCCGAGCTTGGAAACTGGTGCTGGAGAGAGCGAGCACCGGAAGCGCAAGCGAAGGGAAAGCCTCAACAGCCCGGCTATGGAGCAGCCCGCTGCAAATGGCTCCCACGCTAGAGACAGCACCCCAGGTAGCATCTCAGCACCTCTCTGCCCTTGTGCTCTCCCTGCTGCACAGCTCCTCCTGTTGCCAGGCTGCTTGTCTGCCCACAGAGCAGCCAGGACACCAGTGTTCAGTTCCTGGTGGCTGCCAGTCCCCAAAATTACCTGTCAGTGCCTGTTGTCTTGACCTCTGTCCTCAGCCAGTCTTGGCGTTTATGGCATTGCAGGAGGGTTGCCAAGCTGTGCTCTGGATGAGGGTGTGTTTCTCTCCAAGCTCATGGTGATGGCCCCCTCTCTAGGGGTGAAGATCTATCCCCAGTCTCACTGCCTAGGACAGGCCACAGTTTGCCCAAACACCCTGCTGCCATTGGTCTGGACTTGGGAGCTCCAGGAGGATCTTTTTATGCCTGACAGTGTCTCTTTGGATGAGATCTGTCTTGGGGATTGCACAGCATAGGAAACCCTTCTGCTCCCTCCAGCTTGTCCTCACCCATTCCTGTTTCTGCAGTGGCAACGTGTGGCTGGGACAGCCAGGTCAGAGATGGGTACGAGCACTGCTCAACTGCCCTGAGCCTAGAGCCCGGACACAGGAGCCAGGAAGAGTCCAATGTGGTGAAGGAACTGCTCAGGAACTCCTTGGACAAGGCTTACGGAAAACAAGGTAATGCCTGCTGGGGTGGGCGAGCAGGCTGGCGGGAGCGCAGCCCATGGCTCCCTGCTGCTTTGAGCCCGACACAGGGCAGAGCCTGCCATGGGCCTGAGCTTCCCAGCCAAGTACTAGCACAGGCTGCAGCGCAGAGCTCCTGGGAGCCAGCTAGAGGCACCCAGCTAAGGGGCTCTCGGAGGTGCTGTGGAGTTGGGTGCTGAAGTGACTCCAGTAGTCTTTCTAGCCTGGGGGTGTGGGCTCTGCTCAGCCACGGGGCTGGTGAAATAGAGATGTGAAGGAGCACAGCCCAGTGGTCTCTGATGACTCTGCTTTGTAGTTTTGACCTGGGACGGTGAGATCTCAGCTGTCAGCCAGGATGCTGTTCGGGACGCCACTTGGGCCCGGAATGAGACGGTCATTGATGAATGGGATGAGGAGTTTGACAGAGGAAAGGTGAGTGCTGGCTGTGTTCAGGGGTCAGAGTGGTGTGGGAGGGCAGGGGAATGCTTTGTTTGCTGACTGAAAGTCTTCCTGACTCTGCACAGGTGAAAAAGTGTAAAAAGCTGAAGCGGGAGCGAAGGAGACACTTCAACCCTTTCCAGCAGCTGCAGAGCAAGCGCAACTTCTGGTCCGTGACGCATCCTGCCAAGGTGGCCAGTCTGAGCTATCGGCTCTGAGGGTGAGTCTCCCTGGAGAGGCTGGGAGAGGGGCAGGTACTTCTTCTGGGTGCTAACACTGCTCCTTTCATCCCAGGGGGAAAGGGCTGCATCCTGCAGTCCAGAGTGAATGGAGCAGTCCTGGGTCAAGGACCGTATGAGGAGCAGTGTTCCTTGGAGCTGTTGGTGTCCAGCATCCCCTTGAGGAAGGGAGCAAGAGGGGCTGCCTGCCATCCTGTGCTGTGTTCCCCACTCCGGTGTGGGATAGGTGTCTCTGCTGGGAAGGACGATGCTTGCAGGTGTCTGAGTGTGTCTGCAAGGCTCACAGCCCTGGCCGCTATATACTGTACCAGGGCTGAGCCACCTGGTTGGAGTGCTCCATGTCTCTTGTGTTCCCCTCTTTGGGAACTGCTGTCCTTCCAGACCTGCAGGGTTGCTGTGATACATGAGTGCCTCCCTCCACTTCTGACCCTCAGCAGTAGCTGGGGAAGAGCCTGTTGAGCTCCAAGGGTGAGGGGACCCCCTCTCCCCTGCCCTGGACCAGGTGTTGTCTGCTGTGGGTGCTGCTGCGTGCAGCTGCCTCAGCAGCTCCTCTGTATGCCTGCGAGCGTGGGCTCTGCCCTAGCCTGGAGCTCGGAGCTGCCAGAGCTCCTTCCATCCTTGCTATCTCTCAGTTACCAGTTCTGGAGCTTCATGCAGGCATACAGAGAGAAAGCAGGAGTTGCAGCTCCCCTCAGTGCTGCTGTTGGGGCAGCCCTTCTCCCAGCTATGCTCATCCTGTGCTTTGAGGCTCTGGGGAGCTGCACTGGAAAGTGCCTGCAAATCGTCACGGCTCATTCAGGTGATCAGTGGCATCTGCTTGCCTTGTGGGGAGTGGGACACCGGCCCTGGTTTGCATAGCTGGGACCACGAGGGCTGCTGTTAGTCCCTCCTGGGCACGCTCTGTCATGGGGCTCTCCCCTTGTGCTGGAGCTGCTTCTTGCCAGGGCATGCTCCAAGTCCGTCCTCGCCCTGCCCTGCTGCTGGGCCCCTTTTCCCAGTGCTGCTCTGTCTGTCCCAGTGCAGAGCACTGGCATGCTCCAGCCCTCCTGCAGCTGGGGCTGTGGTGTGCCCTGCCTGGGCCTCCTGGGGGTGAAGGGGCAGGAAGGGGGGCAGAGCTTGCTCCTGCACCACTGGGGCTCTGGGAGCAGGGGCCGTTTGCTGCTGCTGGGCTGGTGCTCTGAGGTGCTGCCCCCCTCTTGCTGACGGCGTGCCTGCCTCGTACAGTGCCACGCACCGCCCGGTGCTGCTTTCCCCTCGTCTGTGTGCCGCACCAGGCGTGGTGCAGCCCTTCAGTCTTCCGCTGGCCGGGCCTGCTCCCCCCTGCACCCCGCTGCTCCCTGTGCTGCCCCACACCCCGCTCCAGCCTGCTGCCCCCCAGCCCTGCCGGCCATGCCA